TACAAAATATTCTTAAATGCAGTATTAATTTGATCATTTAATTGATAAATATCCAAATCCATTATTTCTGTAATCTTTTGTTACAGAACTTAACCTTGAGTCTTTTCGAGCTATGCAAACTGCAGCATTTCTGTTGCAAACGTGTTTTTTATGTTTATACAGAAATATATAAAGCATCAGAGCATGGATGTCCCTCACCAGCAAATCACAGTGCAGCTGCAGGAATGTATAGAGCTCTTTACCACGGTAGAGACACTGGAAGAGGAAAACCCCTGGTAATGTCTACTACTACAAAGATTCTAGCCTTTTATTCCAGTCTATCCTTCATGAGCATGAAGAAAGAGAAACCTTTTGTGTTTGTTGCCTAATTTAGAGCCATAACCATCTGTTTCATAATTCCTAGTGATGTATTTAAAGAACTGGATTGCTTCCTCCGCACATGCAACTCAGTGTTTGTTTATGTGGTCTGTAGGTATTGTCCAACATGTAAAAAGCATCAGCTTGCCACTAAGAAATTGGATCTGTGGTCTTTGCCTGAGGTTCTTATCATCCATTTAAAGCGCTTCTCCTACACAAAATACTCTCGAGAGAAACTGGATACCATCGTGGAGTTCCCCCTGCGGTAAGATGAAGACATACATACACTAGTGTTCAAAAATTTGGGTTGGTAACATTTTTACATGTTTTTGAAAGAAGTCTCTTATGCTCACCAAGGTTATATTTATTTAATCAAGAATACAGTAAAAACAGTAATATTGTAATATATAATTACAATTTAATATAACTGTTTTCTATTTGAATATATTGTAAAATGTAATGTGTGTGTGATGCAAAGCTGAATTTTCAGTATCATTACTTTAGTGTCACATGATCCTTCAGTAATCATTCTTTTTTTTTTTTGCTGCTTAAGAAACATTTCTGATTATTATTGAAAACAGTTGTGTTATTTAATATTTTTGTGGATACCATGATACATTTTTTCAAGAATTTTTAATAAATAGAAAATTAAATATAACCGCAATTATTTGAAATGGACATCTTTTATAATATTGTAAATCTTTACTGTAATTTGTGATCAGTTTATTGTGTCCTTGCTGAATAAAATTAGTAATGTCTTTCAAAAAAGAAAATGGTAGTGTGCAATTATAAATGCTTTTATTTATTTATTTATTTTTGATGTGATGGTGATGGGGCCATAAATGTTCGTTCACATCCTTACAATATTTAAATCGATGAGCAACCTTAATATTTTTTTCTTTCAATGGTTGATACTCAGACTATTACATTTTCATGTGGTTCATGTGTTGTTATTGCTCTGGTGAAAAGCAGCTCTCTTTCTCTGACTGCAGGGATCTGGACTTCTCAGGTTTCCTTCTGAAGAAGACAGTGAACAGTACTGAACCTCCCTGTAGATATGACCTCATCTCTGTGTCCAACCACTACGGCGGACTCCGAGATGGACACTGTATGCATCAGTCTTCTTAGCCTTCATTAAACAGCATTTCTCTTTTGATTAGTGACAGTAACATTGCACAAACATTTTCCTTTTTCCTCCTTCTAGATACTAGTTATGCCCGGAACAAGGACAACGGTCAGTGGTATTACTTTGACGACAGCAAGGTGACCTATGCAAGGGAGGAACAAATAGTGGTGAGATTAATGCACCTTTCTGTGGTGTGCTTTATCAACATGAAATCATAATAGACTTTTTATGTTTTTTATTAAATTTCCTTGGTGCATGATTCATCAGTGCACGCTCTTCTAAAATGAAATGTTTGTTTTTCCTCAAAATGCAATAACTTTCTCAGCCTCTGAAATGACTGGGCCACATGTGTCAAAAAAGACTGATCTGTTTAAAGTTATGTCCACAAGAAATGGTCATATCAGTGGAGAGTGTTTTATTCTACATAAACTCATGGTGGTTGCCAGATTGAGATCATGTGATGTCCAGGGTTAATTTGGGAATTGGGAGTTGACTATAATATCATTGAAAATACAATTCATAAGTTTACTATATAGTGCTATAGTGGAGATTTACGAAAGTACATCTAAACAAACCAAACAATTTAATAAGCACAATATGGGGTCAGTATGGGTTTTTTTCAAGACATTAAAGGTGCAATAGGTGATTGTCTTCAGAAACATTTTTTGTTATGCTGGTTGAAAGTCTCTTCACATCCCGATAGCGATCATTAAGTTAAGTGGTCTAAATGTATTTGTCTGTATTTATATATTCTGTGGAAGGCGTAGGATCAAGAAATGTTCGTCGGTCTGAGCGTTTTAATATGCTTTCCAACCTGCCTGTCAACGAATGTACAGGTGCATCTCAATAAATTAGAATGTTGTGGAAAAGTTCATTTATTTCAGTAATTCAACTCAAATTGTGAAACTCTGTATTAAAAAACTGTATTAAATAAATTCAATGCACACAGACTGAAGTAGTTTAAGTAGCAAGTTCCTGTACTTGCCTGCAGCAGCAATAATCTACAACTACAGCAATAACCAATAGCAGCAGCAATTCAGCCGCAGCGTAGCAGATCTGTTCCGTCAAGACCAAATACATTAACATTGTCATATCCATCACCATGCTACAATGTTCCGAGAGTTGTCATGATTGAAATATTTTTATTCAGCAAGGATGCATTAAATTTATTAAAAGTGATAGGTAAGACATTTATAATGTTACAAAACTGATCTTTTGAACTTTCTATTCATCCAAAAAAAAATGTTTCCACAAAAATATGAAGTGTTTTCAACATTCATATTAATAAGAAATGTTTCTAAGAATGATTTCTGAAGGATCATGTGACACTGAAGACTGGAGTCACAAGAATAAATTACATTTGAAAATGTATTTGAATAGAAAACAGTGATTTGAAATTGTAATAATATTTCTTTTTTTACTGTATTATTTGATCAAATAAATGCAGCCTTGGTAAGCATGACATACTTTTCAAAAACATGAAAAAAAAACTTGCCAAACCCAAACTTTTGAATGGTATTGTAAATGCAATAGGTTTGTCAGTCACTGGTCACTGTAATGTTTACTCTCCCTCTATTCCTGTAGACCAGTGCCGCCTACCTCCTGTTCTACCAGCGCCAAGACAAGATCCGCCAGCCCAGCGTCCCTCCACCCGTCCCCTCCTCCAGCCAGCCCGAGAACCACGTCTCATCCCAGACCCACGATGGCATGGATGGAGCCTCTTCCTGTGTCAGCATGGAGACGGACTGATTTCTGTCCATTTCTGTTATCTTTTCTCGCATACTGCCGATCATCTTAATCAACAGAAACTTGAACCTCCGCCTCTGCTCTGACTCCGACAGGAAGTGCGAGGCAGGGGCACCTCTCTCAGGCTGGTGCACGAGCATCATGGAGTGGGAATGTAGATTTATGTGTTTTTTTGTTTCTGTATGACGAACTCAAGGAAACGGGTTAGGCTGGTAGCGGCGGATTCAGAGATCGCGCTCTGATTTGTCTGTGGCGCTTCAGTGACGATGAGAATTCGGAGAATGAGGTTTGCGCCGCAGTTCATCATCACCGACGTGTTCTGTATTTTTTCCTGAGCTAGCTCAGCTGCTGTCCACAGTGGTGATGTTTGATCTGAACGTACAACCTTCAGCTGCACTGTTTGGCATCATGAATCAGTTTATTCCATCTCATTGTTTCAAGCAGCGATGTTCATCATGGGCGCTTTCAGCAGGGACGGTTGAGGTTTCTCATATCAGGGATGTCATGTTCAGAAATCCTGCTTCAGATTTCTGAGATCTTGGGTGGAGAAATAGGTGGAGGTAAATGAGATATAGCTTTCTCTCCACTCACTCGTGAACTATTTATTTTCGTAATTGCTAGATGCTAATGTGGAGTGAGAGATTGTAATTCTAAAGAGCGGATTCTAAAGATCTTCCATTTTTATTTTCATTCTTGTAATGATTTTTTTCCCGTCTGTCGTGAGGTCTGGGAAAAGCCACTATGTTGCGGGACACAAACGGAGGCCTCTTTCCAGTGAGAATTCGCTTTTTTATCTTAATTGCAAGGAAGTGCACAGCAAGATTGAAATATTACATTCTTTTTGACTAATTGTGTGCAATTTATAACGAACTCTTTGGAGCAATGAGAATATTTCAGCAAAGTGCTTTCTGGATAGAGCTCTTTACGGGATGATTTTTAAGGCACCTCTGTACAGTATTTTTGTATTGTAATAAATGTATTATCTTTGATCATTTGGATCAGATGCTGGGAATGTGGGAGCTTTCATTTTGTTAATTATAGATTGAATATATAATTGTATACACATCTTTTGATATGAATAAATGCTGACTATAAAGTCGAGGTTAGATTGGACACATTTGGCATCCATTTACATTGTTTTTCCTCTGAATAAAAGGAGGCGTAGCTTCTTTGGCGATGGGAAATGCATTCCCTCGGTTCATATTAACATTTCTCAGCTGCTCAGTGTTGTAATTCATTTGGCCTGCTGCGTAAAGATCTTATAGAAAATGCTTTTTCATTTGCACTTCCCATTAAGTGACTGCTTTATTGCATTCCTTGGATTTTAATGGACACAGTTTATCGCACTGTCCTATGAGATATATCACTGTATGTGAGAGGAGCACTTAATAACTTCAGTATGTTCTAATATAACACAAACCTGTCCAGAACAAAATACATCAAAAACAAAGGAAACAATATGAAATTATATTTTTTTATTCGAAAAAGAAGCATTTTGACATTTTCATGACAATTTAGCATTCCAAAATTCTGTTTGTATGAAAATGTCTATACATCATGATAGTATTTGTAAATTAAAAATGACCGTTATGTTCTTGCCTGGATTTGTGAGATTTACGAACCTGTGACAAAGAGCTGGTGGGAAATTTCTTGTAGTCTGCTTTACAAATAGACCATTTGTTTTTAAAAATGATATAACTCATCTGCAGTCTTCCATTTTGTACAAGGTTTAATGAATGCAATGATCCGTTTAAAAAGAGCTTCAGTTTTGACTATTTTACAGTAATTAAATGGCTTCATTCTAGCATTTATTTCTAAAACAATTTACTAGTGCTGGAATCAACAGCTTCAGAAAGCACATACAGCACAGCTTAATTTCTTAAATGCAGCATGTTTATAATAATACAATCAGATATTTATCAGAGCTACTGTGTGACCTGCGATCATGCTTGTATTATTTCAGTGAAATCCATCAGATGGTCAGCTGTAAATAACTGAAATATTACAGCAATTCAGTTGGTTTGAGAAATAGTCTGTCAATGCTACACAAATTTCTAAACGCCCATTTCACAGTATAACGCATCAAATTTGTGATTTGGCATTGTGGGGGCATTTTTTGTATAGAAATTAAACATAAGTTCTCAAATAAAAGCTTTGGAGTTTTGAATATCGAGTATGTAGTATTTTCAGTGTAAGTGTTAAACATCTGACTCACCTCTGTGTGATTCACAAACATTAGACAAACCAACCATTTCCTCTCGTCTGATTCAATCAAAGACACAAGCTCAAACTGATTTCCTCCTCACCTTAGGGTTCCATATAATGTTTATTAAATTATTAAATATCTCTTGTACAGTTACCAAAATAGTATCCGTTTTACATTCAATTTGCTGTTATAATATCTCTCTGACTGAAATAATGGCTTGTAAATAAATAACTTGTTACAATTACAAACCACACTAGAGAAAATCTGCCGGATAGAGACTGACATTTTAAGAACACTTTAGAAATAGGCATCACACATAAATACACAATTAAGACATGAGAAATTCTGTATATTAACACCTCTGGCAAAAATGAAGAAAATTTAGATCTATACTGTGCTTACAACAAATTAAATGTTCATGTGCAACGCTCACAGTTCACAAAAACATGTCAGACATATTGTAGATGTCATGTGTTAAGAATCCCATCTGCTTGTGAATGAAACCATCTTAACAGCACTGGTGATTTGCAATCAGACAGTCGTCAGTTTTTACTGTAGTTCTTAGCTAAAGAGTCCTCTGAAGTTCAGATCCTGACACATGAGTTCCTCCTCTACGTTCTCCAGGGCCCATTTGTGCTCCACAATCTCCAGAGCTTCCCACTCGCTCTGAAACAACGGTAATGAATACGTTTAGAGCTTTACACATCTGAGAAGAGTGTGAACATTCTGCTAAACATCTCCTTTTGTATTCTGCAGAGAAAGCCAGACGGGTTTACAACAACAACAGCATGAGGGTAAGTAAATGATGACCACATTATCTCTCTCTCCAAGTATATAATTATTCCTGTTTGAGGACTGAACTGACTCTCTGCACCCAACACTATCTGCATTCCTCAAGAAATATAATGTTTCAATAGTCCTGTAATTATGTGAGCTTCAAAACGGCAACGTTTAAGGTTTCGCAATTATCCTAAGATGATGAGGTTATGAAATTAAAACAACCACGTTTGCACATCGGCACTGCTGTTGCATGCATCAGTCTGTCCACTGGGGCTGTAGGCGCTGAATTCCCAAAAACAATTAACTTTAACTAAATTTGTGTTAAACACAAATAACTGCTGGCATGTGTTTTTTTTTTTTTCTCAGATGTGCATGTTTGTCCCAGAATAAATTCACACAATGAGAATGATTTACATCACATATGTGACCCTGGAGCACAAAAGCAGTCTTAAGTCGCTGGGGTATATTTGTAGCAATAGCCAAAAATAAATTGGATGGGTCAAAATTATCGATTTTTCTTTTATGGCAAAAATCATTAGGATATTAAGTAAAGATCATGTTCCATGAAGATATTTGGTAAATTTCCTACCGTAAATATATCAAAACTTCATTTTTGATTAGTAATATGCAAGAACTTCACTTGGACAACTTTAAAGGTGATTTTCTCAATATTTTGATTTTTTTGCACTCTCAGATTCCAGATTTTCAAATATTGTCCTATCCTAACAAACCATACATCAATGGAAAGCTTATTTATTCAGCTTTCAGGTGCTGTATAAATCTCAATTTCAAAAAATTGATCCTTATGACTGGTTTTGTGGTCCAGGGTCACATATAAATGGTTTAATTTATGCAAATGATGTTCTACTCACCTTAAATGCTTTATTAGGATCAGGAGGCATCGCCATTGCGGCTCCCGTCATTTGATCCTGCATAATTCTTGATTGATCTGCAGCTGAAAATAAACAACTTTTGGTTTAAATAGCTGAGAAAGTAATCTGAATTTCATAGATATTAATATAGCATTTAATACAATACAACACATTAGGTAATTGTAATCTAAATATAGTAATATTCATTGAATTATATAACTATTTTATTATATTAAAATAATGCATAATATAATATGACTGAAGTCATAAAAAGGTCTAAATATCAGAAATAACCAACCATTGTCTTGTCCAAGGATGAGTGTGTACATGCTTCTGAGCCCAAACACATTGAGAAAATACCATGATGCTGAACTGACCCTATACGAGCAACAAATTCAGATTTTATTCACAGTTTTCAGCTTCTGGCAACAAATCAAACACATCACATGTGAATACTGTACCAGGATGCGTCTAGAGAGATCAGCTCAATTCCTCTCTGTAACATGGGCTTGAATCTCAGAGTCAGAGGAAACGGAACTTTAGCTGAAGGGGAAACAAGCAGCACAAAAAAACTGACTTTGGTAACAATTCATTTAAACTCTTACAAGCTTACTTTTTTTCAAATAACATTCACTTGAGATTTAATCAGATAAATAGCAGCCACTGTCCAAGTCATCCTCTAATAGTCATTATATTTTTGTTTGGTAACGCAGAGAAAAAGCAAATGTAGCTGCTTTAAGAGAGAACAGAAGCCTCCGTCAACAACTTGCATCAGCAGTGGACTGAACAAACGCATATGCACTAATCCTACTATGGTTGGAGCCCACTCACCAACGTCAGCCTTTCAGAAAATGAGTTATGAATGTACTGGCCAAACGTTACATCACCCAATTAAAATTCATGTGCCGGCTGTTAAGGTTTAGAATGTCTCCCTTCACATTTCAGATGCTTCCTACACCCCTGAATTCAATCACACTTACAAATGATTGTTTTAGAAAGAAGACCACATTCACACATGCTCACTAGATCCTTTTTATAGTTTTAAGGGAGTTGCTCACCCAAAAATGAAAATTTGCTGAACATTTACTCACCCTGAGGCCATCCAAGATGTAGATGAGTTTGTTTCTTCATCAGATCAGATTTGGAGAAATGTAGCATTACGTCACTTGCTCACCAATGGATCCTCTGCAGTGAATGGGTGCCGTCAGAACGAGAGTCCAAACAGCTGATAAAAACATCACAGTAATCTTCTCCAGTCCATCAACTAATGTCTTGTGAAGCAAAATGCTGTGTGTTTGCAAGAAACAAATTCATCATTCAGACGTTTTTAACTTTAAATCGTTGCTTTCAGCTAAAATAAGTTCTCTATCCATAATATCACTTTCCACAGTGAGCTTGGATTTTCTTCACCGGAGGAAGCTTTTTCACAAGACATTACTAACTGATGGACTGGAGTGGTGTGGACTGCTTGTGGATTATTGTGATGTTTTTATCAGCTCTCATTCTGACGGCACCCATTCACTGCAGAGGATCCATTGGTGAGCAAGTGATGTAATGCTACATTTCTCCAAATCTGTTCCCATGAAGAAACAAACTCCTCTACATCTTGGCCTGTTGGTGAGTACATTTTCAGCAAATCCTCCTTTTTGGGTGAACTATTCCTCTAATTCTGACAAATAACAAAAGATCTTACTTGTGACAAAACCAGAAAAGGCCCAGTTGATCCATCCTCCAATCAGAATCATTGGCAGCACATTGGTCAGGTTGCCTTTCATCATGTCCGTCAACATGCTGGTGTCTGGGACAGGTGATGCAAGATGTTATGAATATGATGAAGCATAGTAAGTCATTCCTTCTAATTTTAGGATGTTAAAGTAGCTCTTACCGGTCATGGGGTTTTTGGGGATCACCTTTCTTTTGACCTTCTTGAAGAATCCAGTCTCAGGGTTGTTGAAATAGTGTTTTCGCATGGCAAATGACTGAAATGGGACAGCATTATTGATCATTGACACAAACAAGTAAATTGAGTTTTATAAGTTTATTCAATTAAAATATGCTGGGAACTGTTATTCATAAAGTAATCAGTACCTGTTTGGGAAGATATTTTCCATTTTCTCTCAGGATGCGGCTGCGCAGCAACACCTGGCTGTGATTTAAAATGGATAAATGTATATGTTCACAAAATAATTTGCAATGATTATGTATAAACTGCAACAGTTCCAATGAGATTATAAAGCATTCTTTCCTCAAAATGTTTCCTGAAGCTCTAAATAATTAAACTCTTAAGAAGAACTTGCCTAGGGTTTAATATATTTGCAAGAAATAAAACACATTCATTGTATTTCCATATTTTGTAATTGGGACAAATGAAAAAAGATCTAATGATCATATTTGGGCAAAAATTTAGAATTTAGGAAATGTCTCATCTTTTTCATTTCCGATGGATTTTGCATAATTAATTATACCTGTTTATTCCCTGATATCCAGAATACATATTTGCATACAGTATTTCTAACCAATTTCACTGACAATATAATTTACTCAACAATCAAAACTTTTAATTTTGCCAAAACAACTTTATAAAGACTGGCAACATTTTTTAATTTAAGTCAATAATACATTTTTAGCAAGATATAGTATTAATATAATTTAACAAAATGTTATAAACGAAATTTCATTCATCAATATTCTTCCAAGACAACATTATAAAGATAAATACAGGTAGCATTTTTAGGTTAATTATTATTTTTATTAAAATGAAGTATTGAATATAATTAAAATTTGTATCACTCTAAAAAATGCTGGGTTAAATATAACCCAGCTCAAAACAACCCAATAGCTGGGTCAAAACAACCCAACCGCTGGGTCAAAACAACCCAATAGCTGGGTTTGTCCCTTTTTAACCCAGCGCTGGGTTATATTTAACCCAGCATTTTTTAGAGTGTAGATGGCATTTTAAACATTTATGTTTTTACTACCTTTTTTAAATATAGAATTACAGTAGTCTATATGTTGTGAGTTTGATAAGATGTTTATGGTTAAACACCTGTATGTATCAGTCATCTCACCTGTCAGACACCTGCTGCAGATCCACTTTCTTCTCGTTATGAATCAGCTGAGTGACGTAATGCCGCAAAACTCCGACGAAGAATGTGATGAAGACTATGGGCAAAACAACCCACAGGCGAATACTGGAGTCTAGCAGCAGCTCTGGGCCTGCCATTTCATTTCCTACACCAAAACTATCCTCGACAACTATCTGACACTTTTAAAGTTTATTTTAATACTCAAATTCCAACACGATGACTATGGTAAAACTACTGCGCTTTTAGCTGCATGAACATGCGCCATATGCACAGCTGCTTTTTGACCTTTGAACTAGTAGCGAAGTTCGATTCGTGAGCGAATCCTTCTATTGAGTCGAATCTATTAAATGAAACTATAGAATCGATTCATGCACGAACTGAACTGTATCGGTCTGTGCGCTTATCGAGTCCTCGCTGAACCGAGTCTCTATTGAACGTGACTGTTTTAACACGTGTAAACGAAATAGATATCGTTTTAAAAGTAAGTAGTAATGTGTGCATATAAACAGTTTTATTACACGTTTGGAGCATGTAATAAACCACGCGAGGATGTCAGGGATAACGTCATAACGTAAAAGAAACGTTTTTAACTCGTTCTTTGAGACGAATTGTTTAAAAGAACCGATTCGCAGGAATGAGTCGCTCGTGTAGTCCCATCACTACTTTGAACTGTGCGATGCATTTATGTTTTATGTTGTTATTTTATTTTAACTAAACGGATAGACTTGTCTTATTTATATATAAAATGTATATATATATATAGTTTCTTAGCGCAATTTCCGGTTTCGAAGACGTTTCCGTGTATCTTGTAAACAAGTGGAGAGCCACGTGACAGGCTGAAAGAAGGTTAGCTTGACACAGTCGAGCATTTTCTATTCAAACAAATTCATTTGTCAGCTGTAAGCTTTTTATCCCTGCATCATCCCAGCGACAGGCTGTCGATTTCTGATGCACGTTAATATTAGAAACAGACTGCGATTAAAATAAATATCGCTATATTAGTCGATCTGCAACCATCTTTTTTCTCATATCATGACTTCTGGGGCGAAAGTCTTGCAGTATGAGACGTTTATCAACGAAGTATTGAAACGAGACTTACAGTAAGTATCATCGCTTGAGATTCAGCTTTGGTGTAAAACCTGCAATAGCAATGCTATTAGCATGTTTACACCATAGTAATCCCATGATTTCTTTAAATGTGTTCTATCGTAAATACCATGGTATTATTTGAAGTGCCATTGGGTTCCATATAAATACCCATTTTACATGATAATGTGTATGTTATATGTATATGTAAATCTCTCGCTCTCTATGTATATATATATAAAGATAAAAAATATTTGGATAAAAATGATCTTCTATTATTTTAACTCTGTGCTCTGACAGGAAAGTATTGGAGAAAAGAGATGCTGTGTATGAGAAAATGGCACAATACCTTCAGCTGAAGAACACAATTAAAAGCATTCAGGTATTTGATCTCTTTCATTTTTTATTCATTTATTAATTTTTTGCTATGTAACCTTGCCTATCTCTATTTGCATTTGTTATTTCATGTCTCTGTCGTTTTCTTGCTCTCATTCTGTATTGAGTGATGTGTATTATAATATGTTGCTTTTGCTGTATTTTATTCATCTTTAGGAAACTGACAGCAAGGAACTCAAAACAGATGTTGACCTTGGCAGCAATTTCTATGTGCAGGCTCATGTGTAAGTATTGCAAGTCTGATGTCTGTGTACTGTGCGTCAATGCCTCTGTCTTAACATCTTCATTCCTTTTTAGACCTGATGCATCAAAAATATATGTGGCAGTTGGATATGGATTCTTTGTCGAATTCACACATGCAGAGGCTTTGAAGTTCATAGAAAAGAAGACTAATCAGCTAACAGAGTAAGAGAGCATTTGGTTTTATCTTTTGGTTTTTGATTGCTTTGTAATATGCATGTTTGCCTTTTTTTATATTTTGTACCGTGAGATGTTCAGACGTTCATCATTATTTGAAAATTTCAGGTATACTGAGGTCCTTACCAAAGATGCAGCAAAGATAAAGGCCAACATCCGCATGGTTTTGGAGGTACAAATCATTACAGTTTACTTGCTTGTACTTTTTTTAGTTCATTGTGATGCTTAAATAAAAATCTGTTTTCATAGGGTTTGAGGGAATTGCAAGGTCTAAAAGATCTTCCAGAGGACAGAAGGAGAGAGGTGTTTTAGTACAGTACACCAATCACAGCACAGTGTATTAAATTTGCACATATGACTGTAATGTTTGTTTTAAACAGTGTGAACTTTATGGCAGCCAGGTTCAGAGGAACATTGCCTTTTAACAGGTTATACTGTTGTTTTGAAAAGTTTGCTGAATAAATAAATTTTCGGTGCAACTGTCCGTGTCATTGTAATCATTTTAAATAATTATATCACTGTACACACAATACATTAGCACATGACCTTTATAAACTTCTTCATATAAGATTAGACAGTCTATATGAAAAATGAATATGTAAGAGGCTTCTCTTTTTTTAGATATGCCAAGCAAATCATTGATTGTATTATTGTAAATGAAGAAAGTCATGCAATCTGTTGACATCATTACTGTTATCTTGTTCATAAATGTTCATTTTTATAAAACGCAGGACTTTTTGCTGAAATAAGAATTCTACCATTAATTACCAACAAGCCACAAAATTATGCTATGAAGCCAATCCTTATGTATATCTAAAATGTGAGTACAGATTGATTCTGGAATAAAAACTTTAGCTTAGAAACTTGTTTGTATCTTGTTGAATCTACAAATAATAAGAACACAAACTATGTATAGATTACCCTGTCCAGTGTCCACATAATCAGTTCTTCATCCTGTCTGTGAGTATGGCGTTCGATAAAATGCTTTCAAACGGCGTGCGTGCTACTTTTGGGATTCAAGATTGCACCTTCGATGAATTACGTGGCAATTGATCGATCATTAATTGAACTTCTATTTTATCTGTTATGATTGATGAAGACAGTGGTTAATTTTAAGGTTCTGCAGCATCTGTGTGATGGCTACCCTGTCACACTAGTAACAGTTGCCATGGAAACTGGATGTTGAATTGTGGCAGCACTAAGACTTGCTTCCCGAAATAGATTATTTTTCTTTGTACAAAGACTCCCTGCCGCATTTGGGCACAATGACACACTATACAATCATTATAATGTGACATTGTCAGCACTGGCTGTGGAATTGCAGATTTTACGTTTTAAAATGATATACAATTCAGGATTTAGATGGAACTTTTTTTTGTACATATGATTTCCAGCGCATCAAATAAAAGATGATTTATGCTTCCTGTATTATTGTATTACATATGCAGTATGTATTCTTGACATTATTTTGATTATACACTGTGTCAGAGGTTTTAGATTGCAACGAACCCATAAAAATATTATCATCCTTGTGCGACAGACCCCCATCTTAAAATTTAAACGTTGCTATAGTTTTCCTGTGTAAAGTCCCAATTTGCACTGTGGAAAAAATTATATCTGTAAAATGCTTTTATGTTGCATTCAATATTTAGATTAGAGTATTCGTTTTCTATTTATTCATTCATTCACTCACTCAAATCAAACGAATATTTTTATTTTAATAATTTTGATTGTTTAAATGTAAATACAATTTTACATTTGCACTCTCTTGTGGCCCCCTGGAAAACCCCTGCATTGTGTTACATGAGTGCAAGCAACATTTCAGCGCAGTCCTGCAGCAACAACCTGTGGATCGCGCTTGTTGTTGTGTGTGAGAGAATTTACGCAAAATGATTTGAGCTCGTATTTTTTTCTGCGTAAAGATTTTCACTCGACCTTGGTGCTGAATAAAATAGCACCACGGTCTCTCCACTAGAAGACGGCAACACACAAAAGTTTGCTCTCTTTCATTCATTTTGCTCTACAGACGACTCGCGTCATGCCTGTGCGGTGACGTCACGGCCGCACAGGGGACTCGCGGACCAAAGAGCGGTGGAAAAAGAAAGAAACAAGTAGTCGAGGCGCTCGTGGAAACAGGAAGCAAACGGGGGAAAGCCAGGTTGTTAAAAAAAACTTCCGAAGGGAGCGCTCTGTCTTTTACCTCCGCGTTATTTCGAGCTCTTTAAACTGACAGTGCAGCCAGTCCGTTGCTTGGACACCGCGCGCTTCGCGCCGAAGTGGATGGACCTGATCGGGGTCTCGGTTTATTTGCCCTCCCTCACCGTCCACCACGCTGGAATTAACCCCTCCTTACTGTTACCGTATTGTTTTAAAGGCAGGGCGTGACATCCCACCGTTTAAACGCGGCCCTGGTCGATTTTACTGGAGTATTTTGACGTTTGAAGAAGACTTCAGTCCGTCTGACAGGAAAGGTGTAACGTTACGCGCAGGCAGCCTGAGCTAACGCGAGCTAGCGACTTTGCTGCTAATGTCAACTAACATGGAGGGAGAGGTGCGTGTGTTACATAACAACCAAACGCAATTGAACCACCGACTTTTGACACCCAGCAAGCACAGTTATGGACGTGAATTAATCTCCAAAGAATAAAACTGCCCATAAACACATTTATTTGGGAGAGATGGAGTCGAACCCGCTGATCAGCGGTAAGTTTTATTCCACTTCAAGGAGGTTGGACATGGAGGAGTGATTGCATTAGAGCAGGGGTGCCCAAACTCAGTCCTGGAGGGCCGGTGCCCTGCAGAGTTTAGCTCCAACTTGCCTCAACACACCTGCCTTCAAGTTTCTAGTATGCCTAGTAAGAGCTTGATTAGCTGGTTCAGGTGTGTTTAATTGGGGTTGGAGCGAAACTCTTCAGGACACCGGCCCTCCAGGACCGAGTTTGGGCACCCCTGCATTAGAGTTTAATAAAGTGCTCGTTAGTCAAATAATGCCAAATACATTCACATCTCGCTCTGTTTTATTCACAATTTATTCGTACACGCTGCCTAATCCTGGTGTGAGTCAGAACGTTGTGTTCAAATCAATGTGATTGTCCAAAAAGTATTAAGGAACCGTATAAATGAGTGGGATTGACACCTTATTTTGGTCAGGTTGGGTTAACATACCTGTAGGAAGCCTGATGCACTTCAACTGTGTTTGAGTAAATGTTTTGCAAGCCAAATGTCTGGCAGTGTGTCCACATGCTGCTGTTTCTGAATCAAATACAGTGTTTGGCAGACTTGTTTGCCTCCTGGTTATTTCTGAACTAATCAACCATCAGTGAGAATTGCATTTGATTGTTTTATTGTGCATTCAATATTTAGATTTTGAGCTGCCAACCAAGCTAGTTTGCAAGGGTGGATGTTTGTTCTTGTATTTGGAAAGGTGGTTTATAAATTAAACAAGTGATTTAATTATCATTATCATTCGCTCCCTTTTGTATAATGTACAACAAGCCCTTTATAATTACTCTGAAAACTTTAAATCAAATGCATAAGAACTTGTTTGATTTGACATGATTGTGCAATGCATATGTCAGCATTTCTTTACTGTGTTTGTTTAAATGAAACCAATGTCATCTGATGTTAACCAGCAGACCTCATGTAAACCCAAAGAGACCGTGTGGACACCTTGATGACCCACCAGGAACTGTCGTGAGCCCCACTTAATACAAGTGTCTTTTAGGGATTTGTTTGGTAATTTAGCTCTGGATTCATTCTGTTCACATCACGGTCCTGTCTGGCTCTCTCCTCCTTTGGGATTCCAATTCATTCATTGGCTATAAGTCATCATGCAGTCTGAGAACACAAGATAACTGATTATTGAGCATTGAGGTCCCTGAACAGTCTTAAGGCAATAAGGTCTGATGGGGAAAAACAGATCTGTGTTGTTCAGTGCCGGTCTTTGTTTGCTTTTCTCAGATGAACAGGCTGATTTATGAGGCATTGGACCAAGGCAAGCTGTGCAGTGTTAGTCCCTTGATTAGTCATACTGGAGCTCTTCAGCTAGAATGTAACACTGCAAGGAAAATTAGGGAATAATCAACATGTAAATAAGACAAATGTGCGTCTGATCCTTTGTTTCTGGCTTCACTATGACATTTTTATCTTAATACGGTGACTCTTTGGTTATTTTTACCAGTATATTCTGATGCCAGATTTTATGATTAATCACCATTGAAGTATATGTTATTCATAAAAGCTTTGATGTGTTATTGTGCTATTGGGAAAATCAAGCTGTTTGTTTTACTGGCCTAAACAGTTCAGTTCATTTTAAAAAACACAATTTATTATACAGCTACATTATAAAGGGGGTGCTACTCATTCTTTCACACAACTGGCTTTATTTTTTCAATGGCAGTTTATTTAGGGATACACCTATAATAAAATTCAAGCTGATGTGGAAAAATCGATAGTATTTTCTAATCCACTATTTGTACTATTTTTGTATAACTCTGTCTGTACTTAAAACTAATTGATTGATTAAGTGAATTTAGACATCGCAATATTATAATGTATAAGATTAATTTTGAACTGAATAGTTGATAAACTATTCAAATAGGTTGCTATAATAGAGGTAAGACATGTATAAGAAAGTACATTTAAAGGCTCTTAAATAGTTAGAATTAGCTGACTAAAGAAATCTGATATTTAAAATATCCAATATTGATCGATACAATTCAGGAAAACAGTAATTAATGATGATGACAAACAACTGGTATGGTCCTGATATTATCGTTCATCTATAGAAAATAAAATTTTTGTGTTCATTTTACAGTGTAGTTACACAAGCACTTTTAATTGTTATATTTCATTATATGTATATTACTAGGCATATTTTATACATTTTTAATCAATCTATTTTAATTGATTGCTTAAAAATATGTGTATATTCAGGCATATCTCAAATGTAATATGTTGTTTATGAATAACATTGAGAGTTATTCTCCGTTCGCTGTTATTGGTCAAAAGATTTTCAATCCGTGATTTTACATTATTTGTAGAAAATGTCAATTGCTAATAGTCTACACATTCTCAATGCATAATTACTGTATGTATATCTAGTAGGAAGAGTAATGGAAAGTGTTACAGAGATGTCTTCAGAACTTCTTTTTTGGGGGTCAACCTGTATGGAAATGAGTAATTTCAGCAGTCTGAGGGTCTCGCAGTGAGATGTTGATTTGATGAGTGTGGATAACAGTATGACATTTAAATCCTGAACTACAGTTTTGTAAAACCCCCTGTTTGCCTTAGTGTGTGTAGCTGTACAAGCTGCCCACAGGATATACTTCTGGTGTTACAGTCCTAGAATGATACCATTTATTAAAGACATTTTACTGCTAATGAATGCACTCACTCAATCACTTACAGCTCGATTTAATGACGGTATTAATTAATGAGATTTTATGTGCTAGGTTAAAATGGAAACGGGT